GGAACAAACCTATTCTAAATTTAGAAATACTGATTCTAYTTTCATCTTCTTCTTCTTAAGATTATGACAATCCAGTAGTGAATGGTGTAAAACCTGAGGTAGACTACGATAATCCACCAGTCACAGGAGGCAAGGGAAATACCGGGGACTATGACAATCCCCCGGTCAAAGACGCCATGAACAATACCGGGGACTATGATAATCCCCCTGTGAAAGGTGCAGCAGAAACGAACGAAGACTACGACAATCCACCTGTGAAGAATAATTACGACGCACCTCCCACTGACAACAGCCAATCAGAGTCTGAAGATACCTTTCTTTAGATACCAAAACATTCGCTTGGTGTTAGAAGTTCTCTTTTCTAGTGTTCAAGGAGCCTTGAATCGAAAACGTCGCTATATAACAACAACCGAGTAACGCTGTTTCTTACGACAACCATAATACTTAATTCAGGACTGGAAAATCCACTCAGTTTTGCTGTTTAGTCTCATGCACACGCACATTTGTACAATGTAAATGATCAATGCTTTTTTCACTGATTCCATTGAGCTGATCGTTGCTGAGGGGAACATTATGTATACGTAAATATCAATTTAATAATAGTCGAAAATGTAAGTGTTGGTATAACTTCTCCCGACTATATTTCAGTCTTCGTTTTAATATTTCTCAATAATCATTTGACGTTAACCTCGCAATCAAGTATTATGTCTTATGACGTCACTAATATCTCACGTGATTGACCATGCATCATAACATACATTTCAGATATTCATATTGAAATAAACAGTTTAATAAACATTTTCAAGAGGTTTTGGTTATTTCAAAGTATCTAGACATACACCAATGAAAGAGGAAGCATTTTTCATTTAAAAATTCCAATTTCGACTGCCTGCTCTATGCGTTTCTTTTGCAGTTTTTTTATTATTACTTTTTTTTTTTTTTTTTTTTTTTTTTTTTTTTTTTTTTTTCGCAATCGCAATGCTGATATAACAATTACCTTCAAACATCCACGCTGAGTTCTTTTGTTTGCTTTAACCCCGCGAGGCTTTTAGTTAACATTCCGTTCAATCAAAGCTAATATATAATTCAAAGGAATATTCATTCCAAGTTACGAAGACTTACACCAGAAGGTTCATTACTGCGTCATAGACACCAACAGCTCCATCACTATAATCATAGGAAAAGTTTCCCAAGTTTTAGAAGAACTAAAACTACTTTGAGGAAGGATTTCGAGCTAAAGATGCTTTGGAAATTAGGATTTTTGGCTTTAATCACCGGGGCAATCTTTTCTGTAGTCCTGTCGGCGAACATAGTAGTTGTTCGACGGCTAAATCCGGATACCAACCATACTCATTTTGCAGATTTGTTTAGCAATCCGCGACGATGCTCTTCGTCTACGTGTCCAATGGATAGATCAGTATGTGCTGGTGGAATGTGTTGTATGTGCCAATGTCATTACGATTTTCCCAATGTCCTCATTGTGAACGAGACAAGTGTTAGATGTACAAACTATGAAGAAACAAATCGCATTTCATCTGCAAGTAAGTTTATTCAGATTAATAATTTTGCTTTTTATCAGACGAAAAAGCGCTTCAAAGTTTTTTTCCTATTACGTTTTTTAATCTTATATTTTTTTCATACTCAGTCTGCGTTAAGCCCCGTTTACACTCGCGACTTTTGCGGCGATTTTTGCTGCGATTTTGTACATAATAAATAAAAGTAAAGCATTTACTTGTAAAGTTTTTTTCAGGATACCAAGATTTTCCTAGACGAATGTATCTTTTGAAGGATGAGACAAAAGATTTCATATGTGCGAAAATTCCCACAAAAGTCGCAGCAAAAATCGCCACCAAAATCAAGCTTAAATGATGGCGTCCTAGTTTGACTCAAATACAGATAAATGATGGCTTCGAGAGAAAATATATAAGATTGATTGATAACTAATTACTCGGAAAATCTAAGATGGTGGTTCCAGTTTGTAACTGATAAAAAACGATAACCTGTTTGAGATGATGATCTTAAGGACAATAGATTTTCTTGAAATTCTTCAATTCTGAAAGATTTCTCATTAGCATCCATCGTTAGCGGTACCACAATGGCCGCCATGTTTTTGTCTCTTAACTCTCTTGGGAATGCTTGCAACCCATCAATATAAGATTCGAAATAATTTTTGGGTTGAGTGTCTCATTTTTACGGGCCAGCGATTACGCTAATTTACTAACAAAAAAATATCATGTCTCTCACAATAACTTCAAATCAATCAAAATATCTAAGCATAATACTACATTTCTATTGCTTGTCGATATAATAGATAATTCCGTTCTTTTTTTAAATCTCTAAAATGGTTAAAAAGACTTAAAAATCGTGAATTAACCGTTATTCTTCGGGGGAGCGTTGGTGCCATTTAACAAAAGATTTCTTATTAGCATCCATTGTAAGCGACACCAAAATGGCCGCCATGTTTTTGTCTTTTAACTCGCCTGGGAATGCTTGCAATCCACCAATACAGTTAATTGCTGGTCAATGTTAGGAATGCGATCGAGCTTGTGACCTTATTAGGATTGCGACGCTAACGCTTCGATTCAAATTGACGCTCTACYTGTTTGCTTAGACTTTTGATGATGTCAAAAATCGATTAATGAATTNTCATTTTGCAGATTTGTTTAGCAATCCTCGACAATGCTCGTCTACTTGTTCCAAGGATAGATCAACATGTGCTGGTAGAAATGGTGGAAGATGTTGCCAAATGTGCCAATGTCTTTACGATTTTCCCAATGTCCTCATTGTGGACGGGACAAGTGTTAGGTGTACGAACTATTCAGAAGCAAATCGCATTTCATCTGCAAGTAAGTTTATTCAGACTAATAATTTTGCTTTACATCAGACGAAAAAGCGCTTAAAAGTTTTTTTCGTAATACGATTTTTAATCTTCTATTTTTTCATACGCAGTCTGCGTTAAGACCCTTCAAATATTCATTCCTTCGCGGCTTGGGCTTCAACATTTTGCAATTTCAAATTGATTTTATTCTTAAATAAAAATCAGATAGAAATAATAAAACTTCAAGCTCGATACTAAAAAGATTAAGAATTGAATTATAACAAAATTTAGTTTACGAAGTCATTGCGTAAACAAACTAAACTCTTGATCACTTTGGCTCAAGATTTGCTTTTGCAGTAGTTTTGGCACATACATTACGTACAGAGACGAAAGGATCGATGCATGGCAAAAATGAAGTATCTTAAAATATAACTTTATATTATTTGCTTTCAAACAGCTCCTCTGAATAAACATTCATAAACTGACAACTCTAAAAATTGCTATTGATTTTATACACGTTAAATTTCAAGATCAAAATAAGAAGAAAAACTATTAGTCAGATGCTTTTCTTCTTTATAAACGAGATGTTTTACAGTCAAAGGACATGAAGCATGCCCAGCTAGACTGCATTATTCAATTCATAAAAATATTTTTGGGTCGTTCCAATATCCCGAGAACGAAATGAAATTTAAATTCAAACTTGGAAATTTGATTGGATTACTTTTCAGCATTTGTACAAGTTTGTAACTGATAAAAAACGATAACCTGTTTGAGATGATGATCCTAAAGACAATAGATTTTCTTGAAATTCTTCAATTCTTCGTTTGCACGTCGCGTCAACGCGGCCATGTTGGTACCATTTAACAAAAGATTTCTCATTAGCATCCACTGTTAACAGTACCACAATGGCCGCCATGTTTTTGTCTCTTAACTCTCTTGAGAATGCTTGCAACCCATCAATATAAGATTCGAAATAATTTTTGGGTTGAGTGTCTCATTTTTACGGGCCACTGATTACGCTAATTTACTAACAAAAAAATCATGTCTCTCACAATAACTTCAAATCAATCAAAATATCTAAGCATAACACTAGATTTCTATTGCTTGTCGATATAACGCGGGGGAGCGTTGGTGCCATTTAACAAAAGATTTCTTATTAGCATCCATTGTAAGCGACACCAAAATGGCCGCCATTTTTTTGTCTTTTAACTCTCCTGGGAATGCTTACAATCCATCAATACAGTTAATTGCTGGTCAATGTTAGGAATGCGATCGAGCTTGTGACCTTATTAGGATTGCGACGCTAACGCTTCGATTCAAATTGACGCTC